AGAATATTCCACAATATTCTACACGGTTTTCCAACAATTTCAAGTGTTTAAATGACTTAAATTTGGATTAATTTCTCATTAACCAAATAATGAATTCCGTTTAAATCATTTAAATTGGTTTCGATACAAAATTTCAACAATTCCAAAGATTAATGTTACTTGTACATAATATAGTTAAATAATTGTTTACATACAGATGAGATATAATAAAAAAAGTGAAGAAGTTTTCTTTTTTAAAAAAAAAAATTGTGACTCAATCATATCTCACCACATCATATATATGACATTATGCACATTTAGCACAACCATATTCCCAATACCTCTCCAATTAAACTATTCATATAACCCTTGTTAACAACTATTGTTGACAAACTTGGTGTTATCAAAATCCAGACCGTGGATTTAAAAAATAGTTTTTAGCAGTTTTTAAAATAGATGTATGTGATGCTGCCAAGTGTAAAGTTGTCAATCAATATTGTACAAGTAAAATGATTCATCTCTCTATTATTTAATGCCCTACAATTAAAAAATATGCCTTTGTTTGAGTCCCATTTTGGGTAAAAATAAGTTTTGAAATAGTGTTTTTTGGAGAATATATGATTAAAAAATAATGAATGACTTTTAAGTTTACGTATAATATTATTTTATTGAAAAATATATAGTTAAAATAAGAGAGAAAAATGTATTTTAGAATTAATGAAAACTCCGTCCGGCCTTAGGACATTTTGCTACCCTTGTGTAGAAGTTTAATGTCTAGTCAAATAGTTTATATGATTATTTTATGCTACATATGAGTAACGAAGTAGGAATATCATGAAAAGATGTTTATATAGGTTAATTTTAGCATAAAATCCTTCATAAAAATGTAAATAGAATACTGTTTATCAGACAAGATACTAGAAATTGAAATAAAAACATTGAGGAATAAAGAGTTGATGTCCTCAAATTCCACTCCTAACTGTTAAAAAAATTCATGAATTTGTACATCCTTTTTGAATTAAAGACAGATTAAGTACAAGATGACGCAAAGAAAACTTGCTAAAAAGGAGGGCGACCTGTCCCCCAGTAAGCTTCGGAGGGTAATTTGTTTGAAGTGAGGAGATTTGAAGGCATCTCATGAAAAAGATTTGTGTTGGGATCAAGCATAAGCTGTTGCCCTTGAGGACCAGTAATTCCTTGTGGTGATCCAAGGGCTCCGCGGCCTGGTGCCACGGCCATTGGTGGTTCTTCCTCTAGAGTTAGCCTTTCATACGATGCGTTACCAAATGAAGCTGCCATAATCACCATAGGGCCAGAAGTGAAAAGCGACCTGACAACATTGCCCCCGACTACTTGGCCTTGTCCACCGGCTAGATATATGGTCAGTCCGACGCAGCAGGTGGCGCCGGAGGTGGCAAAAAGGAACCAGAAAAGGATAGGATTTCGTATCTACCATGTAGTGTCACGACAGATCCTGGTGCAGAAGGTTGTCTTACAGTGACATTATTCACAATGCCGCTTCCACTCAGAATGCAAACACCTCTCTGTCGCGTTGTGGCGAAAGTGGACACACTTTCTTGAATATCGCAGCCATCGGCAACCTCCATTACATGGGATTTGAGTGCATTTGCACTGTCTCCAGTGATAATTATAGATGGTTTTGGTTTGGTCTTGGAACCGGGGGGTCTGTCTCTAGGTCTTCTTGTCTTTTCTCCTTGGCTGTGGCGGGTACTAGCTCTTCATTCTCGGCGCTAGGGGTGAGCATGGGTTGGGTTGGGTCGGTTTTTTACTCAACCCAA